TCTGCTGCTTGGGCCCCTAGTTCTCCTAATGTGTGTATATTCTCCCGCCTGATGTGCAGCTTTAAGTCTGGCGACATGTCTTCGTATGTTTGCTCTATTTGATCTCTTCTTGAAAATCCACCTGCTCTTCTCATGAGCGTCGCCAGTTCTGTGGCGTAATGCCTAAATGGTTCGTTTGCTTGCTGCAGTCGTTTCTGTACTTCTATTTTTGCTTCTTGTATCTATATGGAAAATAATGTTCCCGAAATGCGTTCGTGAAATCATTCCAATCTTTCCACGCTTTCTTGTTGTTCCTGTACCAATGCAAGGTATTTCCGCGCAGTAATTCCGGTAAGCCCTGCAGCATTTGTTCGTCGGTATATTCGTAACTACTTTGTAATTCTTCAATTCGTTCTAGGAAAGAAATTGGATCTTTTCCGTCGAATTGACATCCCCATTTACGCATTTGGTTAATTGTTTTTGCGACCGTTGCAGGGTCGTTTCTATATGATACTTCTGTTTTTTGGCTCGTCCCTTCGTCTTCCGTTCTATTTGTGAACCGTTACGGGTTATCGGAGACATATTTACTTAGTCTGTTTCTTAGTTCATCTAGGGTACCTTCCGTGGGCAGTCCTAGTTCTGCCATTTTTTTAATTATCTGGTCTTTTGCTAGTGTATAGATCCACTGCTTCATCATTTTTCTTTATCTGTTCGGGCGCCAATTTGTAACGGCCTTGCGTTACGTGCGAGATAGTCTTAGTCGGTGTGGTCCGAGTGTCGTTTGTGAAATGAAAAGCAGTAGTATAGGTTAGGTTATAATAATGTGGAACTATATTCTAATTTCGAAGCTATGTACAATTATTTACATGCGACGTTACGCCGTTGGCGCGTGGTCGCGTTTTTACTCTCGTCGGAAGCCGATGTTGTCGTCTCGCGATCAGCTGCGAGCGTCGAGGCGCGCGAGCGTCTGGCGGGACGCGGTCGGGATTGTCTCCTGATACGCTATTGTTCATCGTTCGGAGTTCGTTGCCTCGTCGGCTTTAATCTGTTTATTTATCCTGGTTTTAACCTGGCTGGTTTAAAGGCGCTCGTCATCACCGGTATCTTACACCCTGTATGCGTTCGCAATCGTAGGTGTTAGCGGCGTGGCGTGAGGAGAAAAGGATGTCGACGTCGCGTATCCACTTAGGTCGACGGAGCGGGGTATGGATAGGAAGCCGACGTCGCGTATCCACTTCGGTCGGTAGAGCGGTATCGGAGCAAGGATGTCGACGTCGCGTACCCACTTCGGTCGACGGAGCGGTATATGGATAGGAAGCCGACGTCGCGTATCCACTTCGGTCGGCAGAGCGGTAGCGGAGAAAGGATGTCGACGTCGCGTATCCACTTCGGTCGACGGAACGGTGTATGGATAGAAAGCCGACGTCGCGTATCCACTTCGGTCGGCAGAGCGGTATCGGAGAGAGGATGTCGACGTCGCGTATCCACTTCGGTCGACGGAACGGTGTATGGATAGGAAGCCGACGTCGCGTATCCACTTTGGTCAGCAGAGCGGTATCGGAGAGAGGATGTTGACGTCGCGTATCCACTTCGGTCGACGGAATGTCTAGGATCTCTAGGAATTTCGAGTTCTGGTCGGTCGCGCGCCTGAGAGGAGCTTTCCGATCAAAAACCTCTCGATCTCGTTTTGTAACGGCTTTTTATACTAAATTATAACAAACAATAAGGCTGTTTGTTGACCTTGCGGTTATCCCGCGCGCGGTTGTTCGGCGTTTCTTTGTTCATATTATAAATATTGTTTCTAGCGTCGTGACGATTTTCCGGATCGTTACAACTTAGCAAAGTGGATTAAAGGGATTTTGTTTTTTTTTAAAGTTTTTGTTTATCCTCAATTATTTAATTCACGTATCTTTAAATATTGTTACCATTACGACATATTTAAGGTATTTTATTATAAATAGTATTACTTTGTTTTATTATACATATAACAATTATTATAAGTGCTTCTAGTACTGAAGTATTTCAATATTTAATGTTACAAGTCCTACCTTATGATTGATTTCAATACTTAAATATTGATACTTTGTGATTGTAATACTTCGTCCATTGATAAAATACTTACGCAGAACATTATCAATATTTAAATATTAATATATAATACTTTGCTAAGTGATGAAATACTTACGCAAAGTACTGTTAAGATTAAAAGTATTAACCCAGACAATATACAATATTAGTAAGTTATTAGATAAATATTTATAAATATTTATTTTGAATTATTTTTTTAAAATATTATATATACTTATATATATATATATATATATATATATATATATATATATATATATATATA